CAAACACAACAGGCATACTTATGACTTCTGTTGAGATGGGGTCAGAGAAAACAAACATTTTGTTACTGTTCCTTACAAAATATGAATGCTTATTTCCATGAAAGTAGCCTGTGCCTAACCTAAGAGGCCTTATATCATCTCATCCCGTATAACCTGTTTGTATTACAGCAGCAGTTGTGAGTTACTGATTCTTACACAATTCCTATTGGTACTTGCCATCCACTTGACCGACTTAACCTAACCTAGAGCAGCCCATATGATGAACATCATTTCAACTCACCTATCTGTTGACAGCAGCACTTGTGATAAAAACATGATATTTAAAGCTAGTTTTTGGCTGGTTTCAACTTGCATTTTTATTCAGTTCATTTGTGTACGCTTGTTGACATCATACAAAGTTGACAACACACAAATCAAAACACTTCAAATCACTTCGAGCAACTTATTTTTGATTGTCATGGTTGACCTATGTCAAGGGCAATAACGGGTATGCTCCACAAAACAATCTCTCTTCTCCAAAAGCAACATAACTTTTAGATGACCATGCCGGTATTGCTGCTTGCTTTTTCGGCTGCAGCAAATGCATTCATTTGGGCTTGTTTATTCATATTTAATGACAAAGTTTGAGATGTCGGCTTCACATTTTAAATGGGGTGGTCTGACTGTTTGTTAAATATCAATATTTAACTCATGCTATAATGGCTATGCAGCTTAGAATATCCCCGCGCTAAAAATATAGTGCATATATACAGTACAGTCATTTGCCGGTCAGCAAACCATGACAACTATAGAAAACATCTGGTTGAAGCAGCCATGAGTACCACTTTAAGAATTTGGGACAAATAACCAAGAATATGGAACAAAATAGGCTTTTGGCATCATAATTTGTCTTGTGCCAAAACTCGATGCATTAAAACAGAAAATGGCTAACTCTGGTTACCAATCATGTGTTGAAAGCAGGTAAGGTAAGCAATTATTTGGTCCACAGGAGACTTCCTGGCTTCTTCCTGCTCCCCAAAAACAAAAATTCAGCACATTTTGCATGGTGTGCTGGCAGACAGAGTCATCCGACTCCCCCTCCCCCCCCAAACATAAATTCAATCATGCCCACCAAACTTCGAGATTAAAATGCGAAGCAAGAGGTGTGCACGATAAATATCTCCAGAGGGCAGAATTTCGTCATCAAACACTTCTGTATTAGCTGCGTCAGGTCTGTCCCAAGGCTTTATATGGCAGCCTTGCCTTGCCTTAATAGCCTTGCCAGGTAGCCTGGTGAGACAGATATTCGAAATGCTTGAATTTATCATTATTGAGCACCGCCATGAACCGAGAAAACGGTTAACCGAAGGTTTAAGAGGGCAAAAATGGCGGTAAAAATAAGTTCCGTGCTTCAAATTGTCTCCTTCATTCCCTGTGAATTCTTCACGCTTGGGTGCATATCAAACATGTTTGGGCGGGTGGTAAGTTAATCAAATTTATGTATGAAATACGTACAGGTATGCAGTTGGAGCATCATGCAGAGAAATTGGTCAAAATTTTAAGCGGCAGATGGTACCTCTAAAGACAATCGAAAAGGAAGGAAGAATAAAGTGGTGTCACACTGGTATGATACCAAGAAAAACGAAAGTAGCTAAATAAATATAAAGACTGCTACTTTGCTCGCAAAATTTTGTAATCAGCTGACTTGACTTAAAATCTGTTAATGTAAGTGCTCGAATGGTCACATTCATCTTGTAAGTTTAAATCAGAAGACATTTCTTGAACTTTTCATTCATGCATTTCGGGAGTGATGCAATTTAGTGGTCAAGTTTCCTCCGAAGAAAAGAAATACGTGGAGTAAAATTTCTCTACCAGGCCTTGCCGGTGTTTGCACCAGGCTCTGCCTTCTTGGCGTGGTGGTGGGACCAAAAAAATAGGGGATGCGTGAAGACCTTGCATTTGGCGCACAGCTGCAGATTGTGATGCATTTTGTAAGCAAACCAAACTTAATGCGTGCAAGCGGCTGGGGTCGCTGGGGTTCTTGGGCTTGGAGGTACCTGGCGCCCTTGCTCTGTGCATACATAGACATGATTCAGGTGTAGGTGAGGCAGAGCATAGCCATAGGTGTCCAGGTTCTGCGGAGCCTCGTTTATGCTTGGTGGTTTCAAGTGAGCTCGGTTTCGGATGACATCTGAAAACCTCAGGAGGGGAAATAGGGGTTTGGCATGTGTGATTAGACAATGTCAGGCAGGAGTGAAAAATTCACATAAAATATGGGGAAAAGGAGGGAAAAATTTATCCTCACAGGGTGTTGCTTTACACCCAAAGTCGGCAATTCTGAGACACTGGGTGAGCAAGGCATCTACTGGACGGGAGGCACCGCAAATGGCAAAATGCGATGGCAAAATGGCAAAATAGTTGCCACTTATTCTGTTTCGAATTGTTTAGACCATGTGGCAGCCTATGCAAAGTGCGGTGGGGAAAAGGAGATCATAGCTCTTCACGGATTGCTTGGGAATGTGGCCCATGACGACCACGCGGTATTAACAACGTACGAAATTACTATCACACCCGGTTGGTCACGCGAACCGAATCACGATCATACCCACCGTTATTTGTGGGAAGCAGTTTTCAGTCCGATAGTGGTCATACTCTACATTAAAATGATAGATTACACTAGCTTTACGAGCTTTGCCATCACGAATGAAATGGTCGTTGTTCGAACTATCTTCCTCGTCGGGCGTGCTAAGTCTCTATCAAGAGCACTGAATTATGAAGAATGTACGCCAAGCATCATCCAGTTCTTCTCAGGAATTAACACCTGGCGACGTCCGGGTGCTTGCAAAGCCAAGACGTTACGCACACATTACGTTAAACATTGGTGCTGTGTATTTCGTCATGCTATTTCGTTATGTGTTTCGTAAAAAACGCACCAGGCGAGGACGATAGTCCGAGCAACAATTATTTCATCCGAAATACGAACGCCTCGTCTCAATCCTTCCGTAAAGCTGGAGCTTCGCAATATCAGTTGGTTGTGTAGAAGGAGGTTCTGATTTCTACAAGGCATGACATAGATTCAAAACTGGACTCAAAGCACTGCCTTCCTCCACTTAGAAGCGGTTTATCCTCAAGGTTGGCGGGGGTTGCCAAGAACATCGAGAGCACCTGAGACGATAGTTTGGTTCGAAAGGCCACCATTATTCAAGGGTGCAAGGAGCTACGTATTTGTATCCCCGTGATATATATATATATATATATATATATATATATATATATATATATATATATATATATATATACACGGAAGACCATTTGTGCAACGCAATTTTTAGAATAGAACTTTAGTTTTTTGCGCTAATAGTACGTTGGGGTTTATAGCCTGTGGGTTATGGGTTATGTTCAGCTGTTGGCATGCGAAATGGAGCGTATGCAACTGTGACGGCTGATGTTAGTGACTCATGTTCTTTAAACACCACTGGCTCGCCTGAAATGCACCAGACAGAGCACCAGTGCTTCCAAAAATGTTATCAGACTTGCCATTTCTATATGAGTGGCCAATGACCCACTGGTCATGGTCCAGCCGACATCCTGCAGCCTTTGAAAAAGTGTTGGCGCCTGCTTGTGCATGACATGGAGCTCGGGAGACCAAAGGGAAAACACGAAGACTGAAAATATTTTTGAGCTATTCAAAGCACGTTGCTAACTGTAAGCCCGCATTACTAATTAAACTATGACAATAACTGTGGCCAACAACTGTCTGCGTAAAAGTAGGGAAAGGGACGGTAAGTTTTCGCTCACGCTGTGTCCACATTTGGAGTTTTTATTTTTGGATACAATAAGCCAACGGCTGTCGGATGGCCGTTGTTCTACAAGAACCAAGTGGTTGCGCGTTGGTATTGGGGGGCTTTCTCTCGTATCCCTTTGTTCCACGCCCGCATTTCCAACTCTGTGACGTAATCACTGCCACACCGGTTGCCGGGAGAGAATTCCGCAGTTTCGGCCGGCCGACTGCAGCAGCAGCGGCCCGTTCCCCGAAGTGCGCTTTGTCATCGCTCGCCACGGATTGCCGGCTTTGCACGCAGCACCGTGAGAAAACCGCAGTTCCGTGAAACTGGCGGATGGTCCTGCCGTCCTCCTACGGAGCTGTGTCGGCAGGGCAGCTCCAGGTGAGGGACGGCGAGGCGTGCAGGTCCTGCCGTCCTCATGTGGGGCTGTGTCGGCAGGGCAGCTCCAGGTGAGGGACGGAGAGGCGTGCAGGTCCTGCCGTCCTCATGTGGGGCTGTGTCGGCGGAGCGGCTCCAGGTGAGGGACGGCGAGGCGTGCAGGTCCTGCCGTCCTCATGTGGGGTTGTGTCGGCGGAGCGGCTCCAGGTGAGGGACGGCGAGGCGTGCAGGTCCTGCCGTCCTCATGTGGGGTTGTGTCGGCGGAGCGGCTCCAGGTGAGGGACGGAGAGGCGTGCAGGTCCTGCCGTCCTCATGTGGGGTTGTGTCGGCAGGGCAGCTCCAGGTGAGGGACGGAGAGGCGTGCATGTCCTGCCGTCCTCATGTGGGGCTGTGTCGGCGGAGCGGCTCCAGGTGAGGGACGGCGAAGCGTGCAGGTCCTGCCGTCCTCATGTGGGGTTGTGTCGGCGGAGCGGCTCCAGGTGAGAGCCGGAGAGGCGCGCGAGGAAGTGGCTGACCTGTCACAATACGGGACCATTCACAAACATCCTTAACAGACCGCAAACCCGTTCTCACAAGCACAGCGGGAACATAAATCCAATCCTGTGCTGATTTAAACTCCGTGACGGCAGCGCGATGTGTTATCAGAATCCAATCCCGGGAATCAGCGCGCGCTCATGACCGCTGAAGGCCGCGCAGCAGGACGCGCGGATAGAAAGGGCTGACTCATGCCCGGCCGGGGAAAGTCCGCAGCCGTGTCCGGGACGGGTGCAGTGTCCCCAGCGTGCGATCCATTGACACGACGCTCGTCACAGTGCAGTGTGCCGGCGCCGAGAGCAGAGCCGATCACATCTGCAGACGATGGTGCTGGTCATCATTCCGCTGCTTCTGCTGCTGTGGACGCCGGGCGGCCGTAGCAGCGCTGTTGTCTTCCCCCCGGCCGGCCGCAGTCGCTGCGGGCCCGGGCTCGCATGCGTGCCGGTAGAGTGCTGCGGGGACTACGAGACGGTGCAGCAGCTGGCGCGCCAGCAATCGCCCGTCTGCAAGTTCCGCGGCCTCGACGCCTTCGTCTGCTGTCGGCGGCGCGGCCAGGCTCCGCCGGAACAGGAGCCGGCGTGCGGCACGCTGGCGCCGCCGCGGCCCGCGCAGCGCCGACGCCGCGAAACGCGGACGCCCTCGCCGGAGGTGGTACCGCCGCCGATCCTGACCAGGCAGCGCGTGATGGTGGTGCAGGGCACCGACGCGGCGCCTGGCCGCTGGCCGTGGATGGTGCTGCTGGGCCGTGACGGCCGCTGGATGTGCGGTGGCGCCCTGCTCAGCCGGCGCTTCGTGCTGACTGCCGCCCACTGCGTGCCTGACGACGCCGACGGCCTGGCAGTGCGGCTCGGGGAGCACCGGCTCTCGACGCCGCTCGAGACCGAGCACCACGAGCGGCGCGTGGCGCGCGTGCTGCGCCACCCCGACTATGCGGCCTCACAGAACGACCTGGCGCTGCTGGAGCTGGCGGCGCCAGTCGACTTCTCGGACACGGTACGGCCCATCTGTCTGCCGCCGGCCGATGCCGACCACCAGGGACGGCCGGCGCGGCTGGCCGGCTGGGGCCTGTTGCAGTTCGCCGGTCGCTCCGCTGACGTGCTGCAGGAGGCGCGGCTGCGCGTGGCCGACACGGCCGCCTGCGAGGCCGCCTACCGCGGGCTACCCTCTTTCTCGCAGGCATTTCCGGGTGGCTTCGGCAGCACCAAGCTGTGTGCGAGCGCGGCAGACGGCGGCCGGGCCGACGCCTGTCAGGGCGACTCCGGCGGGCCGCTGGTGTACCGGGGCGCCGGCACCGACGGCATCTTCCAACTAGTGGGCATCGTCTCGACCGGGGCCGGCTGTGGCAACCCCGACTTCCCCGGCGTTTACACAAGGGTCTCCAGCTATGTGGGCTGGATCAACTCGGAGATCTTCTGACAGACGGTGTGAAGCAGCTGGAGCCGGGAATGCACGTACAAAAAACAGGGCATGCAGTTCCTCTGCACTGCCTGGTTTCGAGATGAACCGAGGTCAAGTGAGGCTAAGAGGGTGTCTCCCCCTGAAGTTTATGGTGCCTGATTGTCAACGGTGACGACTGACTGTAAAATACGTATTGGCTATTGGATTTGACCAGTAAACGTCCGGGACCTTTAGCTGCACCACACCGTAATTTGCGTTGTGCCGTGATGCATCGCACTGATACTATCACACTATTGAACGGCTGCTTGCACGAAACGTCGTACTGGGACGCAGGCTTAGCGGTTCCAGTGCTATTCATATTGCTGGGAAAGTTACATGATGTACTGCAGGCATAGCTGAAAGTACTATATTTTTGGTCCCTTTGCATATTGTTCTTTGCTTATGTGTTTTCACCGAAGTCTTGAAGCGGTCACTGTAATGTGCAACACGGGTCAGATTATTAGACGAGCGCTTCTCCAGCGCGGGAGGGCTTTCTGCAGTGGACAAAGCGACTCTTGTCAACTGCATTGTAAGCAAATGAAAGTGGGCGATGGCTTATGAACCAAAACGTGCAGTGCAAATAAAGCGCTAAACGCAACGTGGACTGTACGAGAGCAGCAGCGTAATTCACAAAGCGTCCGGCGGCACCCTGAATGGCATTTGCATGTCACTAGTGCATGATACCAAACCCAGCGTTCGAGCTTACACTATTGTGACGCGTTCCGTTAGTTGACAAGGTAATATGAGTGGACGACGTTAGAGTCGTACCGCTGCAGGATCCTGGTGACGCCACTAGTCAGCTGAGCGAATCTAGAGATTGAACTTACGATACCATGACCCGTTCCGTTAGTTGGCATTGTGGCCTGGGCAGGCGACGTCCAGGTCTGACCGGTGCAGAATCCTGATGACGTTACTTGGACAAGATCTAAATATCTACTGCCTGTATTATGCCCTTGCCCTGCTCTCAGTACGCTTATATCCCCTGCCAAATATTTCCCAACGAGGGCATATTTTATCGGTGCGAGGACAAGCTGGCAACTGACTTACAACCGGATGCTATTTTACCTAACGTAAAAGTGAATGTGTTTGGCCACCATGTTAAAAAGAGAACAACTAAAAGAAGAAATTTCTATTGACGACACGTGCCCTGGTGTGCAAATTTTCGAAACGACAATTAACCTAAAATGTAGATTGCCTTATTGTTAATATTCCGAAGTGAGCATTAAGCAGTTGACACACAAATGTAAAATCACCGAACAGTCAATTAACAGAACGTGTTCTTACGGAATGTGACCTTAACGAACGGCAATTAGGCAATTAGTTTCCCGGTTGCTTGAATTGTCGAATTACTTTTGTAGCAATGGAAAATGGACGATTTTAAGTTCCCTGAGAGAGCCCAAATCTCCGGCGAACCGTTATGGGCGTCCATACATTATGTCCGACATTGATCGAAAGCGCGCTGGTGAAGCGCAACAAACATGGCTAAGGCATGGGGTCGCCCTGGAAGCTCATGCAGCAAAGGAGGGTGAACAGCCTGCAATTTATCAAATATGGCAACATCTTTTTACGGAGAGCCTCTAAGTGCATGGGCCGACGCCTTAAAGGAAATGAATGAAAGGGGACTCCTCTTTATTTGGCCTCTAATTAAAAAGGCGGTGAGACAAAAAAGTAATCGATAGCTTTGGCGCTGCGAAAAACAGTAGCATATACTTTTCCCTCACCAGGTCAATCCAGGGGCGTAGTATTGCAGAATGATTTAGGGGGAGAGGGACTGAGCTATGAAAATGGCCAAACCTGACCCAAAATATGTCAACAGACAGGTTTCTCAGCGAACTTCCTCTACTTTCTTTGCAAAGTTTGGGAGGTGGCTGAAGCTCGAGTTAGGGGGGGGGGGGGGGGAGGATTCGGCGTCCACCTACAGAATAGGAAACTACATACCCGGGTTAACCAGTAGCATTTGAAGAGAAGTCGTTATTTGGAGATGCATGAAAACGACTCTATTCATCGGATGCAAGCGAATTGTGGAAGCCGAGTAGATAGGCCTGAATTCGTCGCCTTTATCGTGTTCAGTGTTACAAATTGTCATAAGAACGTTTGCATGACATAGGCAAACCAGGTATGTAAGTTCTTGCTTTTTTCGGCATCATGAGTTTAGAGCTCTCAGCTGGAATGAATCGGGCTTCAATGCACCAATGCTCAATGCATTCATAAGGTCAATTGGGAGGCCTTTGGTAATTCAATCTTGCCAACATTGAAGATGTTAACGACTTAAAAACATCACAAAAGTCTGGGTATTTGCGTCAGGTTTTCTTTTGTTCTTTGCGGCGGGAGTGTAAGCGTACTTTGTTTTCACCTGTCATTGGTGGAAAGATATGCTGAGCCTCGATCCGTTAGATGCTCGGCATTTAGAGCCAGTTACCGGCAAATTTCCAGCATTTTGGATCAGTTACCGGCAGACCCCTAGCGCGCCTCAGCATGCCAGATATCAGAACAAGTTCAAGGCTGTCTCCTCCAAGGTTTCATCTGCCTCCTTAACCCCCGCCCTGATCCGCCGTTTTTCATAATGAGAGCTGATAGGGGGGGGGGGGGGGGTGAGGCCCCATCCTCTGGCGTTTCCAAGCTAATATAGAGATTAGCGAAAAACACCAGCGAATTGATCTCAACAAAGTATCGTGATTAGTACTAGCTTCTATGCTGTTGGTGCAGTAACTGACGCCGCTCTGACAGGGCAAAGGTGGAACTTTCCCGAAGATCCGACTCTTTTCCCTATACATTATGCCTAGAAAACCATGCCTTGTATAGAGATGACACACGAACAGACATATTCTGGGCTTACCTCTGAGTGCAATGGTGTGTCTTTTGATATGTTTTGAAAATAGATTTACGACGTATGGCTCTGTAAATGCAACAGTGCCGGCCCACCGCGTGCGTTCCGCGGCGTCGTGGGCCGCCTTCCGCCGCCCGCACACCGCCGTGCCAGTGTTCCTAAAAAATCATCTGCTGCTCCCCAACCAGGAAAGTTAGAAACACGTTTTTGGTGTCAAAACACGCGCAGCGAACGCTCCATAAGCGACTGAAAATGTGAGCGCAATTGCAAAACACGCCAGATAGATATTTTCAGAAAAGACCGTCAGGGAGTTGAATCACAAGGGGATCGATCACCAAAAGTTGGATAACCCCACCCCTCCCCCCCATCTATCAGGGCAAGTTTCAACAAGATTTGCGGCCAGAAAAGGAAAGACTGATCTAGAATCTGCAGCTTGCCGATGTTTTATGCAAATGCGTTGTATCTATCATAGCCCTTGTGTGGAATTAAACTGTATACCCTTCCTGTCAGCCAATAAACCTATGATGATACCAAAAAGAGAAATGGTTGGAAGAATTTCCTATTATTTATGCCACTGAAAAGGTGGGTGTGACAGACCCCCTCCCGCTCTGCATATTTCTATTACATGCTCCAGGTGTCAATATCGTACACAAATTTTGCCAACAATGCGTTACCTGCATGAGTTAAGGCACCAGGTAACCACACATGCTATAGCCTGCTTTTCAAAGGACACCGACTCAACCTACTAAACTAGTGCAAATTGTTTTCAAGCAATCAACCAGCCTGCAACCTATCACAAAAATTTCAACAAGATGTTAAGCCTGAATACGTCCTAAATCTTGCACCAAATGGGTAGGTTTTATCTCCAATGCTGGGTTCTTCTTTACCCAACATGCTCGAACACATGGCCAGCACAAAATTCAGTCCACCTGGAACGCATCTATGCAGTTTCTGAAGGCTTGAGCACAAAAATACTATTGAAAATCACATTCTTAATACACCTTTAAGACCATTTTTCGGGGGCATTTTAGAATCTACATATTTTAATATTTCAGACACGTATTGGCCGGCATTGTGTTTTGAAGCAGTTCTAGGCTTCTGGTATAAGCTTTTCCTAATTGGCAAAATATGGCAACGATGTCAATGAGATGTATCAGCCAGCCTGAATGAATCTTGCCCACAAATCGATGCACTCTTGTTTGATTTGTGACCCTACCTGTCAGACAGGTGTACTCTAAAAATAAAAATCCCGCTGGGCTTCAAACACTGTTGTAAAAGCTGCGCTGTTTTGAGCAGTTGTTCACCGCGCAGGGGATTTGGGTCGTCTCCGTGGTGAATGCTGCCACTTTTCTTTGGTAACACTGACGCCCGAGGCAGCGTTGGATGCGCGCCAGGTTTGAAAATACATTACCTGTCGGGATGCGGACCGGGTTGCGTGTGCGTGCGGGACGGCTGTGGTTCGGTCCTCGGAACTGAGGCCATTGAAATTGCGATTGGGTGAATTGAAGTAACAAACACATTTTTCCTTCATATGCTAAGTTTATTCCCAAAGCCTACACAAAAATCCCAAGATGGAATTTTGCTCAGGTTTTGTCTCGACAAAGTAATGGCAAGTCCGGCCAAAATCCAGTTTTTTTACGTAAAATAGCTGAATTTAGCGATGATGTCCCCCATACCGAGGTCCGATGTTGAAATTATAATATCACGTGTAAACTGCAGTAAACTGAGCCGAACATCCTCATAAATAAAAAGCGCAAATGTTCTTCAGAATCTGGATACTATGCTCTATGTCCATATTGTTGGACCGGCACCTATGCAAAACTGGGTATGTCCTACAGACATGTCTCGATCATCTGTGGTCTTTTATTGTCTATACATCTATAATCTTTTTTTTTGCTGCAGATACTGTGTGGTTAAGTCGAGCAACATATTGAAAACAGAACGTAAATGATTATTGACAGCAGAGTTCGCACACCAATCACCTACGAACTGCCTCCTCGCATGGCAATGCTGAAAAAGGTCAAGGCCACTAAAACAATTTTCTTTTCCAGTGTTGTAACGCGCGTAATTTCATTGCTCTCAACATCTTGTTAAAACATTTTTATCAAAGCTTTGAACAATTAAATTGTTTCGGCCTCCTTTCATGAAGATCAAGCATTGACACGAGTCTTCCACGCTCGTGGACGAGTGAACGATTTTTTTACCTCTGTAGTATCCTGACATCTGCTCGATGTTTTCCCCCAGCGTCCATCTCCTCCGGAGACCGGTGCGGTATCCATCCGCGTCAACATGGAGCCAATGTGATGAAGTGGGTCGCAACCCCGCCCTGCCAGCTCAGGCTTGTGCCAGCTTCGCTTAGATGCTTGACGATCGCATGCTGCGGCGGGAAGGCAGCGCACAGTCAATGCTGCTTGAAGGTTGGAAGGGGCTGTGAAAGGCAGCATCTACCCGACCCGCGTACGAGCACGTTGTGTTGTCTAACATCCATCCCAGAACGATCACTTTGTGATTCGATGGGAGCGCTCTATCCGGGAGCTGTTGGGCGATTCTCGCCCCGCAGTCACTGCCGATAGTTTGCAGGCTGGCCACCACAAAATACCATGAGCGTCTGCCAAAAGAATGCGCGGCGCCTCCTGCTCCTCTAATTAGTGGTTCACCCGGCCGCCAACTGAACACGTCCACCGCAACGGAAGCACCCAAATAAGCCATTCCTCAGGCATCGCTCGTGCTGCCACCTACT